GAGCAGAGAATTCGCAAACACGGAAGGAAAAGAAGAAAAAAAGGGGCTAGGAAAACTACTTAACTAGAGCACCATGGACTGAGTTGAAAAGTCCCGCAGAGCCATTAACAAGAAGCTAACAGAATAACAGAGCTGGGAGGAACCTCAGAGGTCTTCTAGTCCAGCCTCTTAAGCAGAAAACCTTATTATACCATTTGTGAACGAATGAATGAATAAAAATCAGGCAAATGCGATTGGGGGTTTGGAGATGGGATAGAGCAGTGGTTCTCAACCTTTTTAATGCCGCGACCCCAACCGGTCGTAAGTCGAGGACTAAACCGGTCGTAAGTCGAGGACTACCCAACCGGTCGTAAGTCGAGGACTTTCCCTGCCCGGGAGCGCCGCGCATGCGTGGTTCCGCCCCCTGCGCCGGCCAAGGCGTAGCTGGCAAGCGGCAGAGACGGAGCAGGCCGACCACCAGCTGGCCCAGCCCAAGGGAGGTAAGGCACCTGCCGGAAAAGGGGAAAAAAAATGGCGGACAAAAAAAATGGCGGACAAAAAAATGGCGGACAAAAAAAATGGTGGACAGCCTTGCTTGGCGACCCCCATGAAATGGTCGATCGACCCCAAATGGGGTCCCGACCTACAGGTTGAGAACCACTGGGATAGAGAGTTATAAATCGATCCATCAAACACATTTGCGGGAAAGAAACTATAAATGGACAATGTCAGCTTCATACAGAGAAAACTCATATAAAATGTTTTACAGGTGGCCCTTGCCACCAACAAGATTAGCAAAAATGTTTAAAAACATGCCAGAGAAATGTGGGAAATGTAAACACAAACCAGGTACTGATTATCATACGTGGTGGATCATATGTGTGTTATCGTCCAAGGAGATGTTGGACAATAACACACGCTTGGTTAGAAAAAAAATGTTAGAGAAACACACAGACTATAAACCTGATTTTTTTCTTTTTTACTAGGTATAACGCCAGAAAAACTTGACAAGCAAAGTACACATTTGATTCTACACGTGATAACAAGCGGCAAGAATTATATTTGCACAATATGGGAAGGACGAAGAAACACCACCCAGAGGAAGAAATAATTAAAAAAATACTGTGCGGAAATAATAATAATAATAATAATAATAATAATAATAATAATAATAATAATAATAATAATAATAATAATAATAATAGTAATAGTAATAGTAATAATAATAGTAGTAGTAATAATAATAATAGTAATAATAATAATAGTAATAATAATAGTAGTAGTAATAATAATAATAGTAATAATAATAATAATAGTAATAGTAGTAATAATAATAATAAATAATAATAAATAATAATAATAATAATAATAATAATAATAATAATAATAATAATAATAATAAAGTTGGAAGGGACCTTGGAGGTCATCTAGTCCAACCCCCTGCTCAGGCAAGAAATCCTATCCCATTTCAGACAAATGGCTGTCCAGATTGACTTTAAGGTTGAAAGAAAAAGAAGAAACAGAATATTTTCAAACTTGGGACCTACAGTATTTTATCATGGGTTAGAGAAAAGATTTAGGGATTAGGAATTTAATTTGTATTACTGAATAAGACACTCAGACAACACGTTTTTGTTGAACTTATTTATTTATTATTATTTATTTATTACTTTAATTTATACCCCGCCCTTCTCCCGAGGGACTCAGGGCGGCTTACAGGTAAATGAAAACAGAGCTATACAATAAATATTTAAAAGCCAAATTAAAATATATATTAATTAACCTGTATTAGAAAAATTATAAAATCCCTTTAAAATCGCTATAAAATCCCCCCCTAGGCCAATCCCGCTTGATGGAAAAGCCATGTCTTGAGGGCACGACGGAAGGAGGGGAGATCCGGAATAATCCGGATCTCTGGGGGGAGTTCGTTCCACAGGGTGGGGGCTCCCACAGAGAAGGCCCTCCCCCTGGGGGTCGCCAGCCGACACTGTTTGGCCGACGGCACCCTGAGGAGGCCCGCTCTGTGGGAGCGTACCGGTCGATGGGAGGCAATCTGCGGCAGAAGACGGTCTCGGAGATACCCATTATTATTGACCTCTGTTTAAAAAATAATAAAACTTTAAAAAAAAATACATTTGAGCCCGTTGCCAAGCGCAGGCGGGGCTGGCAGTCGTAACTCTGAGGAGGGGTCCTAAGTCGCATTTTTGAAGCCTGTCAAAGGTTTGAACGGTGGTTCAATGACCCGTCGGTCGTAAATGGAGGACTGGGGCGTGGGGTGGACACGAGAGGGGGAAGTGAAGGTGAAGGGCCAGATTACACACCCACCTGGATACAATCTGGATTCTGAGCTGTAAATTCCTTCCACTCCTCCACCGTGCAGTGTTTGTGGATGGCTGTGAAAAGAGAGAACTGGGGGAAGGAGACAACATTGAAAGAGGAGAGCTGGCGGTTGAGGCACTTGGCTAGAAAGCGGGAGGCCCTAAGTTCAAGTCCTGCCTTAGCGGGGAGAGCCAACTGGGTGACGTTGGGCCAGTCCCTGTCTCTCAGCCCAAGCCACCTCGCAAGGTTGTGGTTGTTGTCGGGGAAAATAAGAGGAGGAGGAAGAGGTGATGGAGAGGGAGGAGAAAGAAAGAAAGAAAGAAAGAAAGAAAGAAAGAAAGAAAGAAAGAAAGAAAGAAAGAAAGAAAGAAAGAAAGAAAGAAAGAAAGAAAGAAAGAAAGAAAAGAAAGAGGAAGGAAAATATAAGGAAGTTGAAAGAGGGAGGGAGGGAGGAAGGAAGAGATAAAGAAGGAAGTTGAAAGAGGGAGGAAGGAAGGAAGGAAAAGATAAAGAAGTTGAAAGAGGGAGGAGGAAGGGAGGGAGGGAGGGAGGGAGGAAGAGAGGAAAAGATAAAGGAAGGAAAGAGGGAGGGAGGAGGGAGGAAGGAGGGAGGAAGAGGGAGGAAGGAAAAGATAAAGAAGGAAGGAAGGAAGGAAGGAAAAAGGAGGAAGGAAAAGATAGAGAAAGAAGGAAGTTGAAAGAGGGAGGAAGGAAGAAGGGAAGGAAGGGAGGGGGAGGAAGGAAAAGATAAGGTGAAAGAGAGGGAGGAAGAGAGAAGGGAAGGAAGGAAGGAAGGAAGAAGGAAAAGATAAAGAAGAAAGTTGAAAGAGAGGGAGGAAGGAAGGAAGGAAGGAAGGAAGGAAGGAAGGAAGGAAGGAAGGAAGGAAGGAAGGAAGGAAGGAAGGGCTTGCAGATGAAATTAGTGTCAACCCACTTGGACAATCCATGACTCTCCCTCCATTGTTTTTAAGAAGATCCATCAAAGAGGAAAAGTCAAATTGCAGAAGTCTCAGCAACCACCATTCCAAGCCAACTCATACCTCGGGCAGCTGATGCCAGCGTTGGTCAACCCTTGGATCCTTTCAGGCGGGTGGATTTCCGCTCCCAGAATCCCCCAGCCATCTACGCCTGAAACCACCCAAGGTTGACCAACGCTGCCTAATCGGTGTTTTTTTTTTTTCGCAGACGCGTACCTTGCCCAAAACCTTGGCCATCTCAAAGGTCCCCACCGTATCCATGTTGGCGGCGATGATGGGGATCCCCCGGTAGGTCTGCTTGGAGTTCCGGAAGGTGAAGGACGTCAGGAGATCCACCTAGACGAAAGGGGAGCCAATGCACAGAAGGATTAACACCCCAAAACTTTGAAAAGTTGACTCTCCCAACCTCCGCCGGGCCTTTGGCCGCCGGGAATGGCAGCCTGTCAATCACCTGGCACACCTTATGCCGGTTGCGAGGAGAACTTTGCCGGGACTTCGTACCGGTTGTCCTTCACTTATGACCACCTCAGAGACCGGAAATTTCCATTGAGGTCATTAAATGAATGGCACCCGTCTTTCTTTCTTTCTTTCTTTCTTTCTTTCTTTCTTTCTTTCTTTCTTTCTTTCTTTCTTTCTTTCTTTCTTTCTTCCTTCCTTCTTCCTTCCTTCCTTCCTTTTTCTTTTTTAAAATATGTTTTATTGGTTTTTTCCCCCTACATATCACCGTCAATATTTGGTAAACAGTGAGTTGTCTGAGTTTGTATTTGCAAATAATCAATCACAATCAGTTTCTACGGTCCCATATTCCACCTAGTAACCTTCCCTGATTTTTCTCTTTGTCCAAGGATATTCTCTTTTATCGCCCTTAAATTATTACATTTCTTGACAGTTTTAGAAGATAACAATTAAATGCCTACGAATGTCCTCCACCTCATTGTTAAGCTTCTTTTCTAATCAACCATAGGTTCTCCTACTTGAGGGGGGGGGCGGGGGCTGGACTACAAGACCTCCAAGGTCCCCTCCAACTCTTGTTATTCTGAAAAGAAGGACTAGGGGAAACATGATAGTAATAATAATAATGATAATGATAAAGTTGGAAGGGACCTTGGAGGTCATCTAGTCCAACCCCCTGCTCAGGCAGGAAACCCTAGACCATTTCGGACAAATGGCCGTCCAGTTTCTTCTTAAAAACTTCCAGTGTTGGAGCATTCACCGCTTCTGGAGGCAGGTGGTTCCACTGGTTAATTGTTCTCACTGTCAGGAAGTTTCTCCTTAGTTCCAGGTTGCTTCTCTCCTTGATTAATTTCCATCTGTTGCTTCTTGTCCTGCCTTCAGGCGCTTTGGAGAATAGCTTGACTCCCTCTTCTTTGGGGCAGCCCCTGAGATACTGGAACGCAGTTATCATGTCCCCCCTCGTCCTTTTCTTCATTAAACTAGACATCCCCAATTCCAGCAACCGTTCCTTATATGTTTTAGCCTCCAGTCCCCTGATCATCTTTGTTGCTCTTCTCTGTACTCTAGTTTCTAGAGTCTCAACATCTGTTTTACACCGTGGTGACCAAAACTGGATGTAGTATTCCAAGTGTGGCCTTACCAAGACCTTGTAAAGTGGTATTAACACTTCACGTGATCTTGATTCTATCCCTCTGTTAATGCAGCCTAGCACTGTGTTGGCCTTTTTGGCAGCTGCAGCACACGGCTGGCTCATATTTAAGTGATTGTCCACTAGTAATGTTCCAATATTTGAGGGGCTGCCCCAGAGAAGAGGGGGGGGGGGTGTCAAGCTATTCTCCAAGGCACCTTAAGGCAGGACGAGAAACAACGGTTGGAAACTGACCAAAGAGAGAAGCAACCTGGAATTAAGGAGAAACTTCCTAACAATGAGGACGATTAGCCAGTGGAACAGCTTGGCACCAGAAATCGTGGGCACTCCATCACTGGAGATTTTTTTTAAAAAATAATATGTTATTAATTTTCCAATTTTACATTTAAGTATACTGCTCAAAAAAATAAAGGGACCACTTCTTATATTTCTTATATTTAAAAAGCAACGTGGTGAGTGGGTTAATCAATAGTTCGAGAACAAAATCTTTAGTACAAATCTCAAGTTACAACATCAAATATTTCTCCTCTTTTTCCCTTAACATTTACTGTCTCCTATTCAAGCTAGTACAGCTCTTATTATATCAACTCAGTAGTAAAAACATCCTTATTACATTTATCAATAAATTTTTAGCTTATGCGTATCTTAATTACATTCAGTCTTCATAAACAATCCATATCCTGTTATTAAGTTTCTCATCAAGATATTCCTTGCTAGCACACACCCTTCACCCTCGCAAACCCTTATTCTCAAGTTCCCGCTGGGAAGAGCAAATGCTAAGTAAACAGGCCTTTCTCCGATTTGAGAACCATTAGATACATTTATTTATTACGATTTACATTTATTTATCTCAATTATTATTATTATTATAACTTCCTTGCCATCTGCAGGGAGGACTAAAAAGGTCCTTCTACCTCACTCCGGGATTTGAGCGTACTCCGTTTCGGTCTCAAAAGAACATCCTTGAAATCCAGCTTAATGTCATTATCTATGTGGGGCATTTTGGATTCCTGTAAATTAAAAAATAAGAATAAGAATCAAAAGCAAAGCCCTGGAAATCTGGAACATCGGGGACAAAATCCCAACCTTCTCTAAACCTTAAGTTAAACGATTTCTAATGCAAATTATTTTCAACAGGACTTGCCAGCTAAATATTAATTTTCTTACAAGCTTTCTTAGAATGTTCATTGATTTTTCCCCCCCTTCCAAATAAACATCCATTCACGCACACAAATGCTGTGCAGTATTTTTATTTCCCACATGCAACAAGTTGTGGTTTTCTTTAATCCATTTTCCTGTCTTGCGCTTAGAACTGCCGTATTTAATATAGATTGCTTATTTATTCAATTTATATGCTAATCCATTGTTGTAGACTCTGAGCAGCTACTCAGACATGTTTTTTTTTTCAAAAATCAACTGGACTTTGTTTTTCCTGAAATATATTTCGCTTCTCATCCGAGAAGCTTCTTCAGTTCTGACTGAAAGGTGGAGGATGGAAGGATTTATATTCCTTTACAGTCATCTGGTTATTAGTACTTTCCCTGAGAGTCTTGAGGCCACCTGGAGATTTATTTGGGCCCTCAGGGATACCTGAATAGTGGAAACGGTGTGGATGAAACATGAAATGTAATCAAGGAAAAACAAAGTCCAATTGGCTTTTGAAAAAACACCTTTGGGACAATTATGTCCCGGATGACTGAGAATCTCCATAGATATTTTCCGTAGGGTTGCAAGACTTTATTGCCCAAGGTAATTAACGATAATTTTCAGTTTACACTTTCAACTTTGTGACACTTTCAGTTCTCTTACTGTGGGTGAATTGGGTTGCTTTCGGGAGCCAAAGGTTGCTGCCAATAAATGTTTATGATCTCAGTGTCACCATCAGCCTCAACTTCCGCATGACTGTTCCCGTCATTCTAAACCAGAGGTCTTCCAACTTGGCCCTTTGATGACTTGTGGACTTCAACTCCCAGAATTCCTCAGCCAGGCACGCTAGCTGAGGAATTCTGGGAGTTGAAGTCCACAAGTCATCAAAGGGCCAAGTTGGAAGACCCCTGCTTGTGGACTTCAACTCCCAGAATTCCTCAGCGAGGCACGCTCGCTGAGGAATTCTGGGAGTTGAAGTCCACAAGTCATCAAAGGGCCAGGTTTGAAGACCCCTGTTCTAAACACACACACACACACACAAAAAGAAAACTGAATTTCAAAAGTCCAGCTTTACCACAGGCAGTCTCCCTCCCATAAATCTTTTTATCAGCCCTCCTCCTAATCTCCAATCTCTCCAAATCACTATTACCTCAAGATAGGGCTTTTTAAAAAGTCCTCTGCCCATCATGCTAAGACTTCCTCTGCCCATGCTAAGAGTTCCACCCTGGGGCGCAATCGCTTCATCCCCAATCAGAAAAGCTTTAAGTGGGCTTGGACCACTTAAAACTCTCGAACGTCTCTTCTGTCTAGGGAAGCCCTTGGCTTTGCACTTTTACCTCCCCGATCTGGCGGGACTGCAACTCCCATGCACCCCAGCCAGGGTGGCCCATGGGAGTTGTAGTTCTAGCCCACCTGGAGAGTATGAGATTGGAGAATGGCAGATTAGCCTAAGCCAGCCAGCCAGCCAGCCTGACACAACTTTGGTCGTTTGAAACAGAGTTGGACTTCAACTCCCAGAATTCCCCAGCCCAGCATGGCTGGCTGGGGAATTCTGGGAATTGAAGTCCACCCATCTTCAAAGTTGCAAGATTAGGAAACCCTGGCCTAAAGGGTGCCAATCTTGCACCCCCCAATCCAGGATGCCCAGTTTGGATCTCAAAGCTTGCATCACATCCCAATTGTCCAATTTTTAGGGTGCGGAGCATATAGGGGAGCGCACGAACCCCACTTCCGGTTCCCCGTTTTCGCTTTCCGCCGGCTTCCGGTCTATCGGCGCTCCCCGACGTGGGGGGGGGGGAAATAGGCGACCGCGACCACCTCTCGGCCTCCAAAGGGCTCCGCTAAACCCCTCGCAGCTGGCCGCCGTTCGTTTTTGGGTTTTTTTTAAACAGCGGAGCAATGGCTTGTGGGAAACGTAGTTCTCCCTCCAACCGCCTACATTAAGCCCACCAGGATTAATAACTACAGCTCCCATAAGGGAGCGCGCTCAATCGGGATGACGTCACGCGCAGAGGAACAAGCGGATCGGCCTACTAGAGAAGAAAAACTACAACTCCCAGCGGTCAAAGCGTCACAACCGTCTCTCTCCGAGCGGCCATGTTACTTTTCTTTTTAAGCACCTCTCAGGTACTCTCTTTAATTAGTTATGTAGAAACAGAATTATAGCTCCATTCTTCACGATATCGGCGGTTCTCTCTCTCTTTTTTTTTAAAGGAGCCTATTTGAAAACGAAGAGCCGTGACAGGACCGCGGGGCGTGCTGGGAAACGGAGTCAGCCGCTCCATTCATAACGGCGACTCTAGTGAGGGCAAAAAAAAAAAAAAAGATAGCATCTCCCATGGTGCAACGCGACAGCGGCGGAAGGATACGTAGCACGCACTCCTGTTTGGAGTTCTCTGACCGAAAGGGAGGAGAGCCGGAAGTGACGTCACTGGCGACCGGAAAACATCCCGGGGCGGCTCTCTGCGAAGCCAGTTCCGCTTCCGAGGTTGGAGGTCGGGCGGCGCTGAGGCACCGGGTGAGCGAGCGGAGCGGAGCGGCCACGATGCTGATCAAAGTGAAGGTGAGGCGGGAGGCTCCGGCCGAGGCGGCCGAAGGGCCCCTCCAGGTGCGCCCAGGCACGGCGGCATCCCTGGGGAACGCCGGCCGCGGTGCATTATGGGCGGCGGGAATTGGCTCCGGCAGCAGCAGCGGCAACAGCAGGCAGAAGTCAAACCGGTCGAAGCCCGAGGGATATTTCCCTTTGTCAGATATTTCTCAATGAAAGCTCAGCTAGTTTGAGGCAACCCTTTGATCAGGGGGTCTACAAACCTGGCCCTTTGATGACTGGTGGACTTCAACTCCCAGAATTCCCCAGCCAGGTACACTGGCCGAGGTATTCTGGGAGTTGAAGCCCACCCATCTTGAAGCACGCTGGCTGAGGAATTCTGGGAGTTGAAGTCCACAAGCAGGGCTCTTCCAACTTGGCCCTTTGACAACTTGTGGACTTCAACTCCCAGAATACCTCAGCCAGGCATGCTGGCTGAGGAATTCTGGGAGTTGAAGTCCACGAGTCTTAAAGTTGCCAAGTTGGAAGACCCCCTGCCTTGCATGATCCGACATAATTAGTCGGCGATCTAAATTAGTATGGGCAGTCCTCAATATACGACCACAATCCGGCCCAAAAATTCCGTTAAAGTGAATTCTGCCCCCTTCGACCACCTTCCTTGCCACAGTTACTAAACCAGTGGTTCTCAACCTGTGGGTCAGGACCCCATTTGGGGTCGATCGACCATTTCACGGGGGTCGCCAAGCAAGGCTGTCCACCATTTTTTTTGTCCGCCATTTTTTCCCCTTTTCCGGCGGGTGCCTTACGTCCCTTGGGCTGGGCCAGCTGGTGGTCGGCCTGCTCCGTCTCTGCCGCTTGCCAGCTACGCCTCGGCCGGCGCAGGGGGCGGAACCATGCATGTGCGGCGCTACCAGGCAGGGAAAGTCCTCGACTTACGACCGGTTGGGTAGTCCTCGACTTACGACCGGTTTAGTCCTCGACTTACGACCGGTTTAGTCCTCAACTTACCACCGGTTTAGTCCTCAACTTACCACCGGTTGGGGTTGCGGCATTAAAAAGGTTGAGAACCACTGTGCTAAATGAATCGCTGTGAGTGGTTAAAGGAGCAACACGGTTGTTAAGTGAATCAGTGCGGTTGTTAAGTCAGCAACACGGTTGCTAAGTGGATCCGGCTTCCCTTTATTGACTTTGCTTGTCAGAAGGTCGCCAAAGGGGGTCAGCGTATTCTCCAAAGCGCCTGAACAAGAAGCTACAGATGGAAACCAGTCAAGGAGAGAAGCAACCTGGAATTAAGGAGAATTTTCCTGACAGAACAATTCATCAGTGGAACAGCTTGCCTTCAGAAATTGTGGGCGCTCCATCACTGGAGGTTTTTTTTTTTAAAGAAGAAATTGGACAGCCATTAGTCCAGAATGCTGCAGGATCTCCTTGAACAGGACTAGCAGACCTCTGAGGTGTCCCTTTCAACTCTCATGCTATTATTCCGAATACCGATTTGCTGCGCGTTGAACTTCAGATATTTGAAATTCAAAATATTAATAACCGCAGCGTGCACGAAATTAAAGATCGTGCGAAGTCTTGAGGCCTAAATCTAATTAACAGCTTGGAGACGTAGAGTCATTTTGGATGTTAATTACAAGCCGACTCTTTTTGAATGCGCAGCTGATAATTAGAAGATGGGAAGGCTTAACTGTAAACCCCCAGCAAGATTTCTTAGCCTGGCGTGCCTTCGATTTAATAGGATTTAAGCTGGAAATGTCGATTAATGAAATCCCTTTTTTATTTCTGCATAAGCAAAGAGAGGTCCCCGCGGATACGAGGTTAGCAGACCCGGCCCCCTCTCTCTTTAGAAGTGAAACATGGGATGGGATCCTGCAAGAGGGAGTGGACGATGGTGTTTTGAGGAATTTTTTTTCTCCTTTCGTTGCAGACGCTGACCGGGAAAGAGATAGAGATTGATATCGAACCGACAGACAAGGTATCGGCCCTCAAAAGAATGGGGTGGGTTTTGATCTTGATGACGATCCTTGTCCCTTGCCCTGCTTTGCTTTTCGTGTGCAGTTCACCCCGGATCCCCGAAGGTCTACGTTTGTGTAGAAAGAGAGGAAGGTTTGTATTGGTAGCTTCTGTGCAAAAAAAAGGGGTGGCTTCCTCCACCGTGCCCCCGCCCCTTCTTTCTGCAATCTCCAGACAGCTTCGGAGAAGGGAATTAAGCCAGGATCACAGAGGAATAAGCCCTTCCATAGAGAGAGAGAGACAATGATTCAGTTGCTCTCTACATCAGAGGTCTTCCAACTTGGCCCTTTGATGACTTGTGGACTTCAACTCCCAGAATTCCTCAGCCAGGTACGCTGGCTGAGGGATTCTGGGAGTTGAAGTCCACAAGTCATCCAAAGGTCAAGTTTGAAGACCCCTGCTTGTGGACTTCAACTCCCAGAATTCCTCAGCCAGGCACGCTGGCTGAGGAATTCTGGGAGTTGAAGTCCACAAGTCATCAAAGGGCCAAGTTGGAAGACCCCTGGCTTAGACAGTAGCAAGCTTTGAAAAGCAGCCATAGGTTGGAGAGAAGATGCTTAGGTTTTGGCAGCAGTTTGCTCTCCAAGCTTGTTTCAATATAGCTTCTGGACGTTTCGTTACCAAACTAGGTAACGCCATCAGCAGGATTGCCTTGTCCTGTTCTCCCTCGCTTATAAATGTCTTGTGATGCTTGGGTGTCTTCCTGGAGCAGAATCCAACACGACAGCAGCGTTTCTCAACCTTGGGAACGGGAAGGCGGGTGGGCTTCAACTCCCAGAATTCCCCATCCAGCCCTGGGAATTCCACGAGCTGAAGTCCACCCATCTTCCAGTTCCGAAGGTTGAGAAACACAGGGGTGCTGAAGCTTTGTGCGTTTCAAAGCTTGGTGAGTTTGCCTTAGGGTCCTCCCAGCCATGAGTTGAAACCTCTAAAACCGTTTTTCAAACTTGGCCGCTTGAAGGTAATGGGCTGCTGGCTGGTTAGCTGGGGAATTCTGGGAGTTGAAGTCCACCCATCGTCAAGTAGTCCAGGTTGAGAAATACACGATGTTACAGGGACGCTGAAGCTTTGTGCTGCATTAACGGAGGCATAGAATCAAGATCACATGAAGTGTTAATACCACTTTACAAGGCCTTGGTAAGGCCACACTTGGAATACGGCATCCAGTTTTGGTCACCACGATGTAAAAAAGATGTTGAGACTCTAGAAAGAGTGCAGAGAAGAGCAACAAAGATGATCAGGGGACTGGAGGAGAAAACATATTAGGAACGGTTGCTGGAATTGGGTATGTCTAGTTTAACGAAGAGAAGGATGAGGGGGGACAGGATAGCAGTCTTCCAGTATCTCAGGGCTGCCCCAAAGAAGAGGCAGTCAAGCCATTCTCCAAAGTGCCTGAAGGCAGGACAAGAAGCAACAGATGGAAACTAATCAAGGAGAGAAGCAACCTAGAACTAAGGAGAAACTTCCTGACAGTTAGAACAATTAACCAGTGGAACCACCTGCCTCCAGAAGCCGTGAATGCTTCAACACTGGAAGTTTTTAAGAAGAGATTGGACAGCCCTTTGTCTGAAATGGTATAGGGTTTCCTGCCTGAGCAGGGGGTTGGACTAGATGACCTCCAAGGTCCCTTCCAACTTTATTATTATTATTACTACTACTACTACTACTACTACTACTACTACTACTACTAAGCTTCACGAGTTTGCCTTATGGCCCTCCCAGGCGTGAGCCAAACATCTAAAACAGTGTTGTTTTTTTTCAAACTTGGTAATTTGAAGATGGGGAATTCTGGGAGTCGGAGTCCACCCATCTTAAATGTCGCCACGGTTGAAAAACACGGGTCCAAAAATCACCCCGCGTTGCTTATGATGCTCTTCTCTCCTCCCAACGGGTGGCAGTCGAGAGCTGTTCCAAGGGGAAATGGACTTTACTCTCCTTTTCCCTTTCTCTGCGACCTTTTAGGTGGAAAGAATAAAGGAGCGGGTGGAAGAGAAGGAAGGCATCCCGCCTCAGCAGCAGCGACTCATCTACAGCGGCAAGCAAATGTAAGTATCCACCAAGGGAGAGGTTGTCACGACAGCCCAGTTTTTAATCCTGGTTTTTTTTTGAGGGGAGGGGCATGGAAACATTTGAAACAGTCCATCCAACAAACGCCAGGCCGAGGTTGCCTTGAAAAACGATTGCAGTCGCATTGGGGAAGACAGCAGGAAGTCAAAAGTCACCGTCACGTGAGGTCCTCCCTTAACGACCCGCACGGTCCTCGCTTAACAAGGGCAACTGGGGGGAGTGGGGTCCCAGGATTGCTGTCTCTCAGCCAGGCAGTCACTTGACATCCCGCTTTACGACCGCGTGGCTTAGTGACAGAAATTCTGGTCCGGTTTCGGTCGTTATGTGAGAACGGCCTGAACTGAAGTGAGATGTCTGGGATTGATTTATTTCGTGAACCGCTGAGCTCGTTTCCTTGGCCGTGGAAGAAATCTATCCATTCCTCCTTTATAAATAATAATTTCCCTTAATCCGCTACGTTTTAACAAAACACCGGAGGGGGAGTATACACAAACGAAAATTGAAATAACAATAGAAGAATCTTTTTCTTGGGTGGCCATAATAAACCAATACTTCTGAAGGCTGGGTGGTCTCCATTACGGTCGTTTGTTGAGGTCTGCCTCAGTGGGGTTACATAAGATCAGTGACACCATGTTGGCCCGCCCGCCCCGAAATTGGGGTTCACCCCGTTTTTTTTTTTCCTCCCCGCAGGAACGATGAGAAAACAGCGGCCGACTACAAGATCCAGGGCGGGTCGGTCCTCCACTTGGTCCTAGCCCTGCGTGGCGGCCTGCGATGATGGCGTCCCCCGATCCCCGCCGTGCCCCCCTTTCCCCAAAGCCGCCGGATGTGGGTGCCCCTCGTGTCCGTGGGAGGCCCATCGGATTCGGCGCATCCCGCAGCCCCCCGTTTCTCCCGAATCCCGGGAGGACGGCCTGCCAGATGTCTGCTCCTTGGCGAGCTGTCCTCGGAGAGGGGCGTCGGTGGGTTGTGTGTTCGGGGAGCGGGGTGCTCTTTAAGTTATTGGGGTGTAGCATCCGGCCAGCTGCGTGTGGGTAAGGGTCCATTTGCTGCTTCCCCCCCCTCCATGGGTTGAAAAGTCTCTCTTCTTCCTCGTTCGTCCCCCGTCGTGGCTCATAAATGTTCAAATAAACGTTTCACAACCATCACGTTGTCGTTGTGTCTCCTGGGGTCTGGAGGTTTCCTTTTTGGGGGGGTGGGGTACTTGATTCGGCTCAACTCTGCCTTTGCTAAGTCCTCCACTTACAACCCAGCCTTTAGTAAACCGTTTGAAGTTGAAACAGACACCCCCCCCAAAAGGTACTTAAGGCCCGGCTTCAAAGGTCCGAATCGCAAATACAGATACACCGTCGCGTTGCAATTTGGGCATTCCACAACCAGCCTGCTTTTGACCACCATTTTCTGCGTCTCGTCGTTCACGTGACCACGATTTAGGACATTTGGGGGGGGCTGGAAATTGACATTTTTTTTCTTGCAGCGGTCGTTAAACGAATCGTGAGGTTAAGCGAGCTCATGTGCAATGGAGGTTTGTCGGGAACCGACATTTATGTCAGGTTTCTGACAAGCCTCCATTGCAGGCACTGGAGTCATTTGACCTCGTGGTTCGCTTCACGATCCCTGCCAAAAAAAATTCACAATCAGGTACAGTCTCTGCTTAACGACCAGCAGAGCTTAATCATAATTCTGGACCCGATTACAGTCATAAGTGGAGGACTGCTAGTATTTCAGTTAAGAAAGTCTATTCATATTTCGATTATTGGGATGGTAAAAATTTGGGGAAGAACCCCATCCAAATTTAATTTCTCTTGAAAAAACAACAATAGATTGCTTTATTTTTTTGATTTATATCCTGCTTTTGCTTGGTACAGTTAGGGGCGTTTTTATTTATTTAAAAGATTGGTGCAGCAACTCCCATGATGCCCTGTGAGTTGAACACGCCTGTGAGGTGGGAGGGGCTGAGCGCCTGGTCAAAGGCACCCAGCTGGTTTTCGGACCTAAGCTGGGATTAGAACTCGCCGCCCCTTGGTGATCGGCTCAAAGTCACCCAAGCGGCTTTCTTGTCTAAGGCAGTACTAGAACTCGCCCTCTCCTGGCGACTGTCTCAAAGGCACCCAGCGGGCTTCCGTGCCTAAGGTGGGACTAGAACTCGCCGTCCCCTGATGATTGGCCAGTCACCCAGCTGGCTTTTGTGTGCCTAAGGGGAGACTAGAATTCAGTGCCGCCTAGTTGTTGGCCAAAGTCACCCGGCTGGCTTTCTTATCTAAGGCAGTACTAGAACTCACCCTCTCCTGGTGATTGGCAAGGGACTGACATATAAACCAGTTAGTGGAACCCTTTAGCATTGATGATGTTCCCTAGTTGGGTCATGAAATGTCTACAAGAAAACCACCCAGCTCAGAGAGCACCAAGGACCCCCCAGTCCTCCTCCTCCTCCTCCCACACTCCCTTCTAGCACTGGTGATGTTCCCTAGTTGGGTCATGAAATGTCTGCAAGAAAACACACAAACTTTCTTCTTCTTCTTCTTCTTCTTCTTCTTCTCCTTCTCCTCCTCCTC